ACTCAATGGTACCTTCCTCGTGTATTTTTTTTAGTTCTTCCATTTCTGACTTACAACTGTTTTTGGGATGTTTTTCGTATCCTCTGTAGGGTGACACAGTGGCTAGAATTGCTGCCTCACAGTGCCAGGGACCTGTGTTCAGTTCCGCCCTTGGGTGACTGTGTGGAGTTTGCACATTCTCCCCGTGTCTGCGTGGGTGTTCTGGTTCTCTCCCACAGTCCAAAGATGTGCAAGTTAGGTGGATTGGCCATGGGAAATATGGGGTTACAGAGATGGGGTAAGTCTAGGTGTGGTGCTCTTTGGAGGGTCGATGTGTTTTAGATGGGCTGAATGGCCTGCTTTCACATCAAAGGGATTCTATGAAGACTGACACAAAATAGCTGTTCAGTTCACTTGCCATCTCTTTATTTCCCATTGTTAATTCTCCAGATTCACTTTCTATAGTACCCCGTTCACTTCGTTAACCCTTTTTAAAGATCTAGAAAAACTCTCGCTACTTGTTTTTATATATCTCCAGTTAGCTTTCTTTCATGCTCTAATTTTCATTTCCTTATTAATCTTAATCAATTTTTGATGCTTTTTATATTCTTTCCACGCTTCTGAGAAAGGTTAGTATTTGCATTGTCTGCTTCAGAGCAGAAAGCTCTATCCTGTCTGCCACTCACTAATATGGTCTGAATCACACCTTGTAATCTCTGCATTCTCAATCACCACATCCCTTGAGTGATGTGGGTGTACCTGAGCGGCTGCAATGCAAAGATTGAATGTGGGTAGGTGTCTACTTTAAAAATGACAAACTTCAATCAGGGCCCTGGGCCCCATCTCAGCTAAAGGAAGAAATGAGTAATGTGTAATAAAATGGTGCCTTTGCTGAAAATTCTTCATATGTGCCTTTCTGCTCAGCAACTTGAAATTCTGTCTCCGTCTGTGTCATTGTGGGTAAATTAATTAAAAGAGACATATGAGCTGCAAAAGTTGCAGACAAGGTTGAGCTGAACCAAACCTCCATTGTTTTTTTCTTTGTATTTGCTCGCAGGATGTGGACATTGCTGGTTAGACCAACATTTATTGCCCATTCCTGATTGCCTGTAGAAGATGATGGTAAACCAACTTCTTGAGTTGCTGCAGTCCTTGTAGTATGGGTACACCTGCAGTGGAGAGGAGTTCCAGGATTTTGAAATAAACCATGAAGGAGCAGTGATATAGTCTCAACTCAAGATGGTGTGTGTCTTGGAGTGGAACCTGCAGGTTGTACTGCTCCTCTGCACTTGATGCCATTGTCCTTCAGAGACATCATGAGTTTGGAAGGTACTATTGTTCTTGGTGAGTTGCTGCAATGTACCTTGTAGATAGTATACACTGCTACCATGTTGCACCGGTGGTTAAGAGGGTGAATATTTAGGGTGAGAAATGGGAAGCCAGTCAAGTGAAGTGTATTCATTCCTATTCCTGACATGCATTTTGAGGATAATAGACAGGCTTTGGGAAGTAAGAAAATGAGTTCAATACGGAATTCCCAGATTTTGACCTGCTCTTGTAGCCACAGTACTTATATGACTATTCCTGTCCCAAGTGTCTTTTTTTCTGACAGTGGGTAGTACTCCTGCTTCTCAGAAGCTCAGGATGCAAGTATTAATCCAGGACTTGATGGCCAAGGAAAGTATATTCACTTGAAAGTATCCACTTGTAAATCCTTCTAACACACACGACTGTTGGAGGGTTGGGGGTGGGAACTAGTTGGCGGGAAGGCTGGTGTGGATCAGATTGATGTCAATGTCACTGGGTTTGAACCCAATTCTGGCCAGGGTGGGCTTTGGACCTGTCTCCTTGTCCTACTTGAAGCCAAATTTGTGGAACTGTAGGTTAGACCTGCTTTAGGATAGAGACCTCAAGATTTTTCTTACATTGAAGTTTTCCAGATTATGAAAGGAACTGACAAAGTTTATCTCAACTATAGTACACTAGGCTGATCTTGAAAAATTCAGCACAGTAATGATGCCAAACATTAAGATGCTCAAGTTAAAATTCAGAGGCAGGAAATGGAGGGAAAAATCACCCAATGACTTGTTACCATGGAAGATGCTCCATCAAGCAGGTGTTTTAGAGAATGGATTGGGGAGGTAAGTGAGGAGCTGATGACAGGAACAATGCATCAAAAAGAGCTGGTTTTAAAGAACTTAAAATCCATTAGCTGGTCCTATAATTTCTAATGGTTTGTGTTGGGAGACAATCCACTCATTTTCAAGTAAACCAATCACTCAGAGTATAAAAGCAGAGTACCAATAACAATACTAACAAAACTGAAAAGAATTCAAAAAGAAATAAACCTTAACATCATGTTAACATCATCTGTTCTCCTGAAAGCAATATTGCAAAGTTGTAGGGCTTGGATCCATAAGAAACTATTGTAATTGTAACTGTCACAGTTTAAACAATGCAAATACTGCAAGATATAAGATACTTTACAAAACGTAATTTGAATTGTTCGTGAAGTTTCAGTTCGAATTGACTCTTCTTTCCACCACAGGAAATTCAGTGCATCATTGCAGTAGGTTGTGTGGTCAAAGTCTTATTTTTAATTCATGCTGTGGGCGGTACTAAAACAATTCTAAGACGTTGTTTAAGGAACAGCTGCCTCTGATCATCAGTGTTAATCAGCGGTTTGGTCCTCAGGGTAGCCAGCTCAAAACTGTTTCCTTCACATTCTTTCCATCTCCAGGGTGACTGGAGGAAACCATTCTTCACTTCATTTTGCGATGTGTGCAGCAAGGTTGCTACCTGAAGAGTGAAATGGAGATATGCGAGGCGTATCTGCAGCGAGCTACACCGAATCTCGACTGTCCAAACAAACTCAAAGACTGAGTCATCTAGCCTCGAAACGTTAGCTTGCTCTTTCTCCTTGGATGCTGCCTGACCTGCTGTGATCTCCAGTATTTGTTGTTTTCAGTACAGATTCCAGCATCTGCAGGAATTTGCTCCTTCAAAGACTGCACTATCAGGAAGGCTGCTGTGTGGACAGCTGCTAGCTATCCTTGGTGAGTGCTATACGATTTATTCCATTCTCACTGTTACTATTTCAATGGCTTATATATAAAACCAACACCAAAAAACACAATGTTCCTGTTCTTAGCAACTGAGAAAACACCTTTAAGGCAAGTGAAATACATGAAAATTTAATACAATTGATCCCCTTGTGCCCAACATTCAACATCTGATGTGATTAAAGTGATCATCGCATTTACATATCTTCTTCAGATACTTTTCACAGTTTAAAAAATCATAATGTGACAGTTTCAATGATTACATGAATAAACCACTTTTTGTATGAGGGAGTTGAGCATTTTTTTTACAGCACATGTAACATTAGCGATTAACAATAAGTTGGTTTTAGCTGTGATTAAAAAAAAATTGATTAGTGGCTCTTTACAGAATCAAGCTAGAACAAACCTACAGCAATTTAAAGTTACTGGGTTTTTATTTTTCTGAAGAATGTCACATGATTACAAACCATGCTGTAAGGTGAAAGTGAACACGTATCTGCCATAATTGGTCCTGAGTGTTGGTGGCCTACCAATGACGGTGGATCAGAACGAACATGTGATTCAGATTCCTTCCAGTGTCTGATCACTTATTACTTTGGCTCAGCGCCTTAGTAGCACGGGACCAATCTGGGGGGCTGGTATGTCAGCCCAAGAGCCATTCTTTCATCAGGTTTCACTACATTGGTATGACGATGAACATGAGCTTTCAATCCTAAAGTAAAGCCATAAAGTTGGACACACCTCATTATACTTTCAATGCAAAAACACTGGATGGCTTACTCGAAGAATTGTATCTTAAAATACTAATTGCATTTATTAACAACAATAATTAAATCAGCCTCCACCATCTAATCCAGGCTGTGCAATTCCTCTGGGTCCCATGGAGGGAAAGACCACACTCCTGCTATCCTAATAGTTATTCACCTAACTTCTAACTCTAGGACATTTCAATCAGTCAGTCAAACACCCACATTTACTACAGGCAACATGATGGCTCACACCTCAAGTTAGGAGGAGTACATGATTTTAGGCATTTCTTCCGAAGTTAGAGAGCCAGCTGAAAGCTCAGCAATCTCAGAAAAGCAATTGACTTGATTTGGGATAAACAACTTAGCCCAGTGACTGACTGCAGCAGGGAAATTTAAAAGACCCATCTCCCCTGGCAACTGTGAATCTTCAGGACTGACACCTTATGATATTGTAAGATACAGCTCCCAGACTTGCACAGCATCATAACAAACATGCTGCCTTTGTTGTATGTGCCCCTCCACTTCCCATGTCATTTTGGAATGAATTCCTCTGCTGTTCACATTGCCCCTTCTTCCTGATGAGGTGTTAAACTGTGGCCCTGATCAGCTGGCTGTTAAAGATCTCATGGCATTTTGAAGAAAACTAGGAAATTTTCACCAGTGTAATAAAACAAAGAAAAGCAGATACTGAAAATCTGAAACAGAAAACAAAAATGGATAGAGAAACTCAGCAGGTCTGGCAGCATCTGTTGGGAGAGAGAAACAGAGTTAACGTTTCGGGTTCAGTGACCCTTCTTCAGAATTTCAACAGTGACTGCACTTGAAAAAGTACTTTATTGGCTGCAACATGACATGGAAAGTCACTATATAAATGAAAGTGCCCATCTCTCATTCTTCCAGAATAAACATCAACTGCTTCCTAATTCTGTACTCTTTCACCCAAAGCACATCCTTGGAAGTCTACATTCCAGCATCTGTAAACGTGCATTATCCCTGACACATTATTCCTAATAGTTCTTTTATAATCTCAGTTTATGCTGATGAAAGCTTTTCTTGGTTGTTCTCTGCATGATCAATTTTTGGTGAAAAAGATTGCTTAAAAAAAACAGCTTTCGCTAAGTTCCTTGTCGATAACAATTTCACTATTAAGATTTTTTTTGTTAAGGATGTACCTAGATTTCCTTGAAGCTGACTGAGGGAGGACAAAGACATGAATAACTCACAGGAGCTTATCTCAGAGGGAAACTGCAATCTTGAAGCCAATTTCCAGTACTATTTGTTTCCAGTCATCTACAGCATTGTGTTCATTGTGGGCTTGATCGGCAATGTCACAGCCCTGTGTCTCTTGATCAAGAAAATGAAGAAATCCTCCCCATCTTACATGTACATTACAAACCTGGCTGTGGTAGACATCATTTACATTTGCACCTTACCTTTCAGAATCCACTACCATGTTAAAAAGAACCACTGGCCCTTTGGGGATATAACCTGCCGGATTACGGGCACACTCTATTTTGCTAATATATACATCAGTGTTGCTTTTCTTAGCCTCATTTGTATCGACCGTTATATTGCAGTGGTCTATCCGAGAAAATACATCAGGATGAGGAGCACACACTGCTCAACGATCATCTCAGCTCTGGTATGGATCTTCTCCCTGACTGTTATGCTTTCCCTAGTCTCTGGTGGCTCACTTACCTCCACCTTCAAAAACAACATGACAGCTTGCTTTGAGAACTATGATCCAGAGATCTGGAGCAACAGAATGGCAGCCTACAACATAGTGGTGCTTTTGTTTGGTTTTGTCATCCCATTCACCATCATCGTGATATTTTACCCTTTGGCAGCTAAGAAAATAGCCCAGCTGAAAGGTGGTGTCCACAGGGAAAAGGCTTTGACAATGATTCGAGTCATTTTGGTGATCTCAGTTTTTTGTTTTGTCCCTTATCATGCCACCCATTTGCTACATTTCCTCACTCGCTTGAAATTTATTCAGAACTGTGCTTTCAGCAGATTTGTCTACAAGTTCAGGAGAATTACCATGGCCCTTGTCAGCCTCAACAGCATTTTAGACCCCGTGATATATTACTTCACAACCATTCATTTTAAGTTAAATTATAATAAACAAAAGAGGTCAATTAAGCAAATTTTACATTATGATCGAGATGATGAATTAGTTCGGCAGGATAAAGGTGTTGCGTGGCAGAAAACAGAGATCTGATACTGATGGACACATGTATAAACTGACCTCAGGAGCTGAAGAAACACTGGTTTGCTTCCACCCTGGCTCAGTTTTGAAGTGATATTTTGTTGCTTTCCTATCCCCATGAGGAAAATAGGAACAGGAGTATGTCAATTATTTTCTCAAGCCTGTTCCAGCATTCAGTGAAGTCCTGTCTATGCTCTGAACTAATTCCATTTGCTCCATTTCCCTTAATATTCTGGGTAAGAAAAATCTATCAATCTCATACCTAAAGATCTTACATCAATTGCCAAAATTTGAGAACATTCTGAACACCTATTGCTCATTGTGAAGAGCTTCTCAAAGTATTATGGGCAATGCATTGAATAACAGTAACAAGGAGAAATCCAGACCTTTTAAAGGTTCCTGTTTTCTTCTTTACGAGACGAATTACTTCAGTACCATCCAGTTATCTGCACAGTGAATAGCTCAGTATCAGAGCGTGAAATCTTCCAGAATCAACTTCACTAATGTAGCCTTTTTGGTCTCTAAATAATTTGTTTCATTCTGGTCTCTCTATTTTAATTCATAGGCTTAACTTAATAAATGTAACCCATCTCTTAGTCTTTAGTTGCCAAATTTCAGTTGGGATTTTGGCTTTCAAGAAAAATATTAATTAAACAATATATTTTTGCTTCAATATGTTTCATATTTTCAGCTATTAATGTTTCAAAAAATAGCATGTTGCTTCACCTCAAAACAAAAAGATGTCAAGAAATGCAAAATTAAAAACTGGAATTTGAATGACAACCACAGTTTTACGTTTCAGAACATTTTGACCATTTTTTCACTGAAAGGATTTGATAAAATGCTAGTGTGTGAGTACGGTTTGCTTCATCAAATTCTAAGAAAAACCTCCGAAGAATTGTTAGTCTCAAAACGTTCTTCCTCTTCTCAGATGTTGCCAGACCTATCGAGTTTCTGCAGCTCTTTTTTTTTGTATAAATCCCAGCACTAAATCACCGAGCTACTTTTAACCTATTATCCACCAGCTATATCCATTTTCTAATCAATCTCTTCAGAGACATTATCACATAACTTTGGAGGAATTGGGACTTGAACACAAGACTCCTGGCTCAGAGGTAAGGACATTACCATGTGCCACAAGATCTTTTCCCATATCTATTATAAATCTCTCTCAGGAAAGCTTGAATGCCGAGAAAAAAGAAACAAATTAATAGAGACTTGGACAAAAGCCTTTAAATAATTAACAGCATCAGGGGATTCTGGATCCTCCTGCCTGAGCGCGTGCTGGGAGATCCCATTTCCATTCAGTGGCTGGCATGTCTGAAATAGCACCTGCTTCTCAGAAACTAATCGGAGCTGGGCGCTTTCTTGTTCTCTTTTGAAAGCTGCTTCAGGCTGGAGCATCAAAGACCAAAGCCAGCCATGAAAATGGAAGCAAGTTCAGTTCAGGAACTTTTCTTCCATATTTATTCACAGGATGTAAGCATCAATGACAAGGCCAGCATTTATTGCCCATCCTTAATTACCCTATAGAAGGTAGTAGTGAGCCACCTTCATGAACTGCTGAAATCCCATATGATATAGGCACACTGCTATTTCGTAGGAAATTAAAGATGTTGGCTCAGTGATGAAGGGTTGATGCTATATCTCCAAATCAGGCTGGTATGTTACCTGAAGGAAAACGTGCAGGTGGTGATATTCCTGTGCAGTCACTGGCCTTATCCTGGTTTGGCAGAGGTCACAGCTTTAGAAGATACTCTTGAAATTGATGTGCATGTTGCTGCAGGGCACCGAATGAACGGTACATCCTGCAGCCACACTGTGCTGCAGGTGTTGGGGGGCAGGGAATCATTGTTTAAGGTAGTGGACAGGGTGCAAATAAAAGCAGTTGTTTTGCTGTGGATGATGTCAAGTTTCTTGAATGTAATTTAGTCTGCACATATTGTGTCAAGCAAGTGCACAGTATTCCATCAAATTCTTGACTTGTGTATTGTAGATGGTGGAAAGGCTGTAAAGATACAGACAATAGACAAGTAACTCTCTGCAGAATTCCCAGTTTCTGCCCTACTTTAATACCTGCAATATGTGTGTAGCCCATCCAGTTAAGTTTCAAGTCATAATGGCCATAATTATGAGTTTGCGTTTGAGAATATGGATATCCAGACTGTTGTGTTTACAGAAATCAACACTTTCATATGGCACAGTAAATGTCATAAAGCAACACAAAATGGATGACAAAACATAAACAATTTTTAAAATTTATTTTACAAACATGTTCTGGTAAAATGAGTCAAAACAGTATGTGAGCTACATCCATTCTCAATTTTCAATTCAATCCACATGCCTGCTTAGAAAAATAAAATTGAACCCTGCCACTCTGTTCCAATCTGCAGGGCACATACATCTGAGCTTCCAAATCCAATTTTCTATAAACAATGACATATTTAACATAGCTTCTTGGAACCTGCAAGGCTCAACTCTTTCACAAAGGAGGCAAATATAAAAAATATGAAAAAGATCATCTGTGCCACTCAATTTATCTTCTGCCATCCAGTGGGTCAGAGAGCAACAGATTGAGGCAGTCCTTTCTTTAACAGGGTTATCAGGTAACTGCCCAATTCTTCATCCTAGAGATTAAAAAGAGTTAGTAAACATTGTTAACTTCATAAATTCACAAGCAGTATTGATCACAACCTGTTCCTGGGGCAGGAACCTCTTTGCACAGAAGTAAAGAACTGATGATCAGACAGTGATCTCCTGACTAGTTTCAAATACAGTAAATCCTCTGTATCTGCAAATTCATGAATCATGAATTTGCTTATCTGCGCCAAAAAAAGTCAATAAAAGTCAGTCAACATCCACGGGCAAAAATCACATAGCCACAATTTTTAACCTATTTTTGAACAAGCTCTGCACTCATGAATTTCATCATTTGCAGGAGTTTTCAGGAACGAAATCATTGTGGATATGGAGGAATGACTGTACTTAAAACATTAATCCCCTAATTGGGGTATATTGATCAGCCAATCCTTCCATGTATTTTTAAAGAAAGTATTTTGCAGGTTATATAACAGCTCATTTTAAAAAAAAAACCTAATTCCTCTGTGAGGTGCTCAGGCATTTGGTGCAGAATTAAATGGGTGTATGATCTTCTGTGCTGCACTATTCTATGATTTTACTGTGCTGTGGAGGTGCCGGTGTTGAACTGGGATGGACAAGAGGCTTGTATATTTGCAAATACATTCTATTTTGTTCAAAAAACTAAAACCAGCCCGATTCCAGATTAAAACACAGATAGATTCTAAATAAGGCCTCACACCTATTATGCATTGTCTGACCTGAGATGTCACCTCTTATACACTGATAATACCTTTAATTATCTCAGGGAAATGACTTGAAAGAAATTCTGGGATTTGCATTTTAATCAATAGAAACCTGTATCTCCTTTCTAACTGATTAAAGATTCAACAGGAGGCGGTCAGCGAGCCATTTTTAGGATTGTTAACTTTCTGCTTATAAATTCTGTTGGTATAGCTCCTTTTCCACACTACACCTGAGAAAGGAGCAGTGCTCAGAAAGCTAGTGTTTCCAAATAAACCTGTTGGACTATGACCTGGTGTCGTATGATTTTTCTATGTGCAAGGTTCTATATAAATGCAAGTTATTGTTGAAACAGATCACGACGTGTTAATTCACAACTGCACTTCTGTCCTACTGGGTGGGAATTTGTTTGCTGAACTACAGCTTTCATCTGTTGGAAAGTTTACAAACCGAATAACTTTTAAAT